TTTTTTAATGTGTATTTATTCTTGAGGGAGACACACACAGCATGAATGGGGGAGAAGCAGAGAGAGAGAGAGAGAGGGATACACAGAATCAGAAACAGGTCCCCGGCTCCGAGCTGTCAGCACAGAGCCCGACGTGGGGCTCGAACCCACGGACTGTGAGATCATGACCTGAGCCAAAGTCAGACACTTAACCGACTGAGGCACCCAGGTGCCCCAATAACTTTTAACTTATTAAAAGCAGCTATTACCAGATGCTCATCTTGGCCATAGAAATACTCACCCTTGAACACTATAATATCTATACAAATGTGACTTTGAGCAACTTACTACCTGTGAACATTTCCAGCTAATTTGTGTTAAATACATGTCTGAGCCTTTGAGATCATTTGTTGCATAAGCTTATTATGAATAAGACAATCCAATGCTGGTATTGGTTTCCAAAGAAAGATTTTATAATAAGTCTTCCTTCTGAGTAATTAGAAAGTAAGACTCCTTTTTTGTTAGGGCCACTCCTTTGTTCGAGAAACTGAAACCCTACCAACCACTCTTTTTTACTTTTTTTTTTTCATACCAACTGTAGGAAAACACCTAGCTAGTTAAGTGGCAGAGCTAGGGCTGGAGTGAGTCACTAAATGTGGTCTCTCTCCTCCTGCCCTTGTAAAAAGGGCATACACTTTCTACAAACTGTCATGACAATCGCACGATAGGAAAAAATCAAACCGAGAGAATATAATAACGAAGACTATTTGCACTAACAATAAAAGGAGCGCCGTTTTCTCAAGGGCAGGTAGCAAAGTGCACACGCTTCCTGATGGTACTTGATAAACATCTGCTGCTTGGAGAGAGGACTGAATTTTGGATTACCCATGACACTGATTTCTTCTCTTAGTAGGTCTAGATCTATATATTTATATCGCAATAGTTTTTCTAATTTGGATTTTATCGGCCCCAAAAAGACAAGAAGTACCAATGAAGGGAAATGTGAGGAATGCTAGGGGCTGAGATTTTACGTCATTGTTAGCAGGTCTCGAAAACCTTTCTCTTGGGCAGTCAAGGGGCCTGTACTCCCAAGATGGGCTTTGAGTTCTCCAATTAGAGCTGGGTTGGGTCAATCCCATGGTCCGATGCCACAGGGGTCCTGTTGTGATTCATTCCCTAGGAGCAGAGAAGCTTTGGAGCTTTTACTCTTATGGATTTATAGACAGGATAATCTCTCTTTTAAATTTATTTATTTTTTAGGGGCGCCTGGGTGGCTTAGTCGGTTAAGCGTCCGACTTTCACTCAGGTCATGATCTCGCGTTTGTGGGTTCGAGCCCCGCGTCGGGCCCTGTGCTGACTGCCAGCTCAGAGCCTGGAGCCTGTTTCAGTCTGTGACTCCCTCTCTCTCTGACCCTCCCCTGCTCACGCTGTCTCTCTCTCTCTCTCCTAGAAATAAATAAAACATTAAAAAAAATTTTTTTTAAATTTATTTATTTTTTACCTATTTATTTGAGAGAGAGAGAGAATGAGCAGGGGAGGGGGGGGAGAGAGGGAGACAGAGGACCCAAGCAGGCTCTGCAATGACATCAGAGAGCCCCGTGCAGGGCTCGAACTCACAGACCATGAGATCATGGTCTGAGCCGAGCTGAAGTCGGATGCTTAACTGAGCCACCCAGCAACCTCGGATCATCTCTCTCTTAGAAAAGACTCCTTTAACTCCACAGGCAGAGATTCTAGGTGACTATAGCCACTGAACTTGTCCTATGTAAATTGCTCTTGCTCAAACGGGCATTGTGACATTGCTAACACACCTCCACCACAGTGCTTTTGAAATATGACAGGCAGCGTCAGCTGCGGGAGCCAAGGAGCTCATGGGGTGTGTGGACCACACATCTGCCGTCCGACATGGAAAAGAACAGGTGAAATTATTAGACTGCCATACACCCTACAGTATGTTGTCTAGCATCTAAAGCAATTGTATCTGTGGGACTCTAATATAAGCGTAGAGTGGGAAATCTCCACCTCAAAGCTCATATTGACAATAGAGTTGTTTATTCAGAGGTGAAATAACTTGATGTTCATGTGAATTAAGAAGACAAGACACGGGGCTCAGTCGGTTAACTGTCCGACTCAAGCTCAGGTCATGATATTACAGTGTGTAGGTTCGAGCCCCATGTTGGGCTCTGTGCTGACAGCTGGGAGCCTGCTTCAGGCTCTGTGTCTCCCTCTCTCTGCCCCTCCCTTGCTTGTCTCTGTTTCTGTCTCTCAAAAGTAAATAAACATTTAAAAAGAAAAAAAAAGAGAAGACAAGAGATTTTAAATTTTTTAAAAAAAATAACCGTTACAACACCACGGACAGGGCGTAGAAGACTCCGTTCAAAACTTGTTTACAGCAAGAAAGTCAATGTTACAACAGTGTATTGAAAATTTATCAGCCACATATGTGAGTCCAACTGCTCTTCTAAGTGCTTCTTGTGGTTACATAGTGAGGTCAAGTTGGTTAAAGCAAGGGTATCATTTCCTGGACGGAACATACTAGAAAGAGGCAGGTAATAGATCTGGACAAGGAAAAAGAAAAGCCAAAAACCTTCAAGGAAGCTTGACAGAGAGTGTATGGTGGTGAGAGATGAGGAGGTATGACCTTGGACTTCTGTCTTTTCAGATGTTTCACTTTCTGCAGCATTTAATGATTGAAAATTGCTGCTAGTCATTTTCAACTTGCGGTCGGGCTGGAGAAACCACAGAAAAAGAGCCCCACTGTGGCAGGAGGTGGAAGCAAGGAGTGTTTTGTGTGGCTTCACTTACTATTTTAATTCCGTTGTATCATTCGTGGGCTTCAAAGGTACGGCCGTTAACTTCTCCTATTTGCTGCTCTTTCCCTTCTTCCTTTATTTTTTCCTTTCCCTTCTACCCTTTATTTTCCCTCCTGTACTTTCCGTCTCTAAAGCTGGTGATGAGTCTGCATGGAGGCCATGGTGGGGAAAGCCCAGATTTACACTAGGTCTCACTGCTGGTAATTTGTCTCATACCTTCAGCCCAGTGATTTCATGGTTCAGAGGTGAATTTTCCTCATGTTAAACTAGGGGTATTATGAGCTACTTCACAGGTTTGTGAAAATTAAATGTGAATGCATCGTGTATGCCAAGCCCAGAAACTGGTGAGTGATTCTGTTCATCACTGGAGGCTGCTACTATAAGCATTCTTTTTTTAAAAAAAAATTTTATTTATTTTTAAATTTTTTAATGTTTATTCATTTTTGAGAGGGAGACAGAGCATGAGCGGAGGAGGGACCGTGAGAGGGGGAGACATAGAATCCAAAGCAGGCTCCAGGCTCCAAGCTGTCAGCACAGACCTCGAGGAGGGCCTCGAACCCATGAACCATGAGATCATGACCTGAGCCAAAGTCAGATGCTTAACCGACTGAGCCACCCAGGTGCCCCAAGTATTCTTTTCATGAAGATAGCACCTCTGCTTCCACCCAAGTGTTCATGTGTTTTAAATGCTTTCCTTCCTGGCACCTACCATGTCTGACCATACTATTATCATCATTAGCCAAGCTTTATTTATTTTTTAAAAATTTATTTATTCACTTGAGAGAGAGGGGAGAAAGAGTGTGAGCACAAGCAGGGAGAGGTAGGGAGGAGAGAGAGAGAGAGAGAGAGAGAGAGAAGAATCCCAAGCAGGGTTGGGAATGTCAGCACAGAGCCCCAAACTGGGCTCTAACCCACAAACCGTGAGAACATAACCTGAACGAAATTAAGAGTTGGAGGAAGCTGGATGGACTGAGCCATCCAGGCGCCCCTCATTAGCCAACCTTTAATAAGTGCATATCATGGGCCAGGACACTGCGGTAAGTACTTTATGAAAAGCATTTAATTCTTTCTCAGAATCTATACAAAAGCTATTATTTGAATCCCAGTTTACTAATGAGAAAGCGGACATTCAGAGGCATTAAGTGAACCAGCAGGCTTATAAGATCTGTTGCCAAGACAGGATTTGATGAGGTCTTTCTGATGAGCTTAACCACCAATGACACCAATGAAACTCTCCAACTCACAGGCCACCCACTCCCTACACACCCTGTGGAATGCAGGGTCTGTCCCACCCCCAGGTTAGCTCCTACACCTCTGCTGTATCTAACTTCTGCTCTTTCGTCAGGATGAAGGGGTGTGCAGTTCTGGCCTCTCAGGAGTGGGGGCGGAGGTCCTATCCTTCCTTATCTCCTCCTAAGCCACCTGCAAGCCTGACTCCTTACCCTGTAGACACAGCCTCCTTAATCAACGGGAAAAGAAAGTGACCAGGCAGAGAATAAGAGTAAATAGAGTGCAGGAAGAGCATAGGTGAAGGGGAGAGGAAGAAAAATAATTCAACGGAAAGGAACAAAGGGTAAATATTTGCTGAACTCCTTAGTGCCTGTCATCGGACCTAGAGATCTTTAAGGGTCTCTAAGTATAAGTTCTCAGCGCACTGGGCACTGACATCGGCCTAATGTTTACAGATGAGGAACCAAGGTTCAGAGAACAGAGAGCTCAGCGCATCTGGGTGGCGGGTTTGCACCCACAGTCGCGCACACGTGGCACGGGTTCAGTACGGTGCCTGGTTCTGGTACCGCTTGCCAGGGTCGGGGTGGGAAACACGAAGGTCGCGCCCTCCCCACTGATCCCGTAGGGAGCGGTGGCACGCGGGGGCACTCCTCTGAGAATCCGTGAGGACACGGTACTCGGAGATCACAAGTTTGCAAGTCACACTTGTCCCCTCTCCTCACTTTGAACTAAAACGCGAGTGAACTCAGCTCCCCCGGTCACTGCCCGACTGCTGGGGCGCATCTTCCCGTTCTTGGGAGCCAAGCCGGACGACGGAGTTAAGAGTGATCTCTTCCTCTTCGGCCCGCGGGTGCCCAGAGGCAGCACCAGGCACTGCCAACCGCGGCCGCACCCGCGCCTAGGTGGGAGGTGGCTCCAAGGTGACGCGCGGCCGCCTCCGCCCCCTGGAGGCGGGACTGGCGAGCGGGGGCCGAGGAAGTCGCAGGGCCCCGAGGTGCCCTCGCCCCCGCCGCTCCCGCCTGCTCCTTGCGCCCGCCAGCGGCGGCCATCGAGGGTCCCGGCAGGTAAGGGGCGCATCTCGACCCCGCGGCAGCCCCCGGGACGCAGCCTCGGACAGGTGAGGGGCGGCGCCGGGCGCACCTGGCAGAGCGCGCGGGGGGGGGGGGGGGGGGGGGGGGGGGGGGGGGGGGGAGGGGGCGGGGGGAGGGTCGCGGGGGTCGCCGCCTGCTCTCTCCTGGGCGGCGTCTGCTCCCCACCGAGGTAAGAGGGCTTGGGGACCCGTGAGGGCTCAGGATCGGAATTCCGTTGAAGCTCCTTCCCCAGATCCGAAAGGCGTGCCAAGGACCGGAGGCAGAAATCCGCGGTGGGTAGTCCTGGGGAGCGCACGAAGGGCGGGCAGCCTGCCCCAGGAATTCTTGGCTTTTTCACAGACACACCTCTGGTCCCCTCCGGGCTCAGTGGAGTTAGTCACCGCCCCGGCCCAGACTCTTTCTGCGCTGGTCAGCCCCTCATTTGGGTAGGATTTGATGCGCTCCGTTCGTGGCGACCTGGAGGTCAACTTCGGTTCCTAGCGCAGCTGCACAGGGAAGCGGAAAGCTTTAGGATACTCGTTTAGGTTACAGAGTGTCTCTTGCACGTTTTTTTTTATAAAAAAAGTACGGTGATGGTGGCGGTGAACTTGAGAGGCGATTGTTTCCGTAGTTAGTTCCTCTGCGCTCTGTCCATTTGTTAAGCAAATTGGGGCGCTGATGGCTTTTAGAGACGGTTGGGTTTCCTTAGACGGGTTAAAACTTCTTAACGAACTTATGTGCCTTAAGGTGCTAGGGTTTCGGCGGCACGTACGTACTTACCTAAGTGTGGGTTCAAAGTTACACCGGCAAGGGCCACTTACAGCGACCAAACACCTTCCAGGTGACCCCGAGAACTTTACAAAACCTGAGTCCCCACAAACTGAATGGCAGACAGGTCTATGGAGTATGGTTTACATTAACGTTCATTTTTTTATCTAGGTCAGCAGCGTTTCAGTTCAGTAAGTATGTGTCGTTTGCCTGCTAAAGGCCAACCTGTGCGGGAGCCAGGTTAGTGCACTGTTGGGTAGCACAGGTGGTGACACAAAGGGGCATTTGAGGGCCCTCATTCCTCACAGGTAGGTGTTTAGAAAGCCTCCTGGCACAGGGACGCCTCTTTAATCTCTGCTAATAAGCATTTAAATGCAGCGAGAATGCAAAGCTCTCAAGACTATCATTAGCCTGGTCTGCCGTCTAAAGGGGCAGGGGCTATCAAAACTATTCCTTAAAATAAGATTGTTAAGGATCCATTGTGTGCCATCCACCATGCTGGGCACTTTATCTTGGTGCATAAAATACACACCACGGGTATCCTTCCCCCAGTACAGGCAGGGAGGAAGTGGGGAATTCGTTCAAGGTTGTAAGTGCACCTGAGAGCTGAAGGTAACTCTTTCTGAGTGCAAAACCCATGTGTTTTCACTATTCCATGGTGCTGGGAGGCATACGGTGTAAATCTGGCAGATTTAATGGAAAGTAATTCAACTTTATATTCATAAAACAATCCACGCCCAGGGACTTAAGGTCACGTCATGTATGAGTGCTGCTTTCATTCTCTCTGTGTGGTTGAACCATGATCAGTCTGGGACGAGAGGGTGAATAGCTTTTTTTTTTTTTTTCTTTTAATACAAAATTTATTATGTGTCTTCCTTACATTTTTAAAATTATTTTTAAAATATAATTTATTGTCAAATTGGCTTACACAAAACACCCAGCGCTCATCCCAACAAGTGCCCACCTCGAAGTCCATCGCCCATTTTCCCTTCTCCCCCACCCCCCATAAACCCTCAGTTTGCTCTCTGTGTTTAAGAGTCTCTTATGATTTGCCTCCCTCCCTCTCTGGTTGTAACTATTTTTCCCCCTTTCCCTTCCCCCATGGTCTCCTGTTAAGTTTCTCAAGATCCACATATGAGTGAAAACATGATACCTGTCTTTCTCTGCCTGACTTATTTCACTTAGTGTAATACCTTTCAGTTCCATCCACGTTGCACCACAAGCCATGCTTTTATTCTTTCTCATTGCCAAATAGTATCTTCCTTAACATATTTTTAAGGAGCCAACATATCCAAGTGGGACAAATTAGTAAAACTTTGTAGGTGTTCCTTGTGTATTACACATTGGACTAACAGCTAATTTTCATATTATTCATATCTCTTAACATTATTGCAGCTGATTTCATATCTTCCAGATGAATAGAAGCCATTGTTGTCACCTAAAAGGACTTTGTGTGTATAAATCTATAATTATACCTGAGTATACACAACATTTATTTTAAAAGATATATCCATTTTTCCTAAAATCTCTAGAAGTGTAGAGTACTGCAGTGTGTTTCTTTGGGAAGGGAATCCTAAGAGCCCTAGTTTAGCCTTTGAGTAAGAATGACCCATAACAACTGATAATCTCTTTAAGTCCCTGTAAACCACAAAAGTGATTTTTAAACTACAATTATTATACTGTAGAGAATGAGGATGACAATAGTCCTTTGAATTAAAAACATTTTTTTAGTGTTTATTTACTTTTGAGAGAGAGCTAGCAAGGGAGGGTCAGAGAGAGAGGGAGTCACAGAATCCGAAGCAGGCTCCAGGCTTCGTGCTGTCAGCACAGAGCCCAGTGCGGGGCTCGAACTCATGAACTTGGAGATCATGACCTGAGCTGAAGTCACTTAACTGACTGAGCCACCCAGGAGCCCCTGGTTTAAATAAATCTTTTTTGTAAATGTTTATTTCCTTTTGAGAGAGAGAGAGTTTTAATTTTTTTGTATGCTTATGGATTTTAAGTAATATTTCAAAACTTGCTTTCTTAACCTTTCTTATGATTGTAAGTAATTACACACAGAAATTGAGGGGTTTCATATTTAAATTATCTTAAGGTGTTGAAAATAAGGAAGTGGTGTTTTGTTGTTGTTCTTGTGTGTGTGTGTGTGTGTGTATTTAATTTTTTTTTTTTTTTAATTTCTAGGAGAGAGAGAGAGAGACAGCATGAGCAGGGGAGGGTCAGAGAGAGAGGGAGTCACAGACTCTGAAACAGGCTCCAGGCTCTGAGCTGGCAGTCAGCGCAGAGCCCGACGCGGGGCTCAAACCCACGAACCGCGAGATCATGACCTAAGCGAAAGTCGGACTCTTAACCGACTAAACCACCCAGGCGTCCCTGTGTGTGTGTGTTTAAGAGAGATTTTTGCATGTTTTGAGAGAATCAGGTAGGATATTCCACCTGGGTTGTGCCTGGCACAGTTTTTTTTTTTTTCTCTATCTTCATTTGACAGTGAAACTAATATGCTGACAACACACCTTGAACTCCTCTTCAGGACTATTTGAAATCCTGCCTAGAATGTGTTTGTAAAAGTGTTCTTGGCTTGGTTACGATCCTCTAATGAAGGGGCAGAGAGTGATGCATTAGAGAAATTTCTAGAAAAGCTGAAGAGCCCAGGAGCAGAGTAGGCATGAGACGTGAAATGGCCAGATCTCGATTTTGTTCGACTGGGCGATCCTTTTTAAGAAATATAATGCAAAATCCCTTAGGAACATGAATGCTTTCTTAGAATGGAAAAAGAAATGATCACCATTTGCTGGAGGTTTCTTTCTGCTGAGATCTTTTTGGGCAGTTTACCAGAAATACTTACATAAAAGTGTTTCCTGATTGCAACCCTCTCTCCCTGAGAACACTTAGCATCTCCTGGCAGCATGGAGCTCTCTCATAGGGGCCAGGGAGAGGCAGGAAGCCAAACTTCACCACCTTCATGGAGTAAGAGACCACGTTGTGGTGGGAGGAAGGCAAAGGACTCATGGCTGGCTGAGCAGGGTTGAGGCCAGTCGGTGGCTGGGGCGGGAGGGACACTGGGCTTATCGGGGACTCAGGGCATTTCATATCTAGTGACCAGTTATGGTTTTTTTTTCCAGTGTTTTATTTGTTTTTGAGAGAGGGAGAGAGAGAGAGAGCATGATCAGGGGAGGGTCAGAGAGAGAGGGAGACACACAGAATCCGAAGCAGGCTCCAGGCTCTGAGCTGTCAGCACAGAGCCCAATGCGGGGCCCGAACCCATGAACTGTGAGATCATGACCTGAGCCGAAGTCGGACGCTTAACTGACTGAGCCACCCAGGCGCCCCGTCTAGTGACCAGTTCCGAGAGGAAGGACCAGAGCTGGACTCTAGGATCTGTCAGCTGGCATGGCTCTCCCAGCCTGCTCTCCACCAGACCCCATTCACTGAGGCTCTTCTCTGTTCCAGGCACTGACTCTGGAAAGGTCCTATTTGCCACGGAGCTCCTGGTGTTGTGGAGCTGATTGCCTCCTGACAGCACAGTGTCATAGGTGCCAGCCCTGAGCCTGGAGGGCTCCTGATTGCTTGAACTGAGGTTGGAATCGTTGGTGGAGTTACCAAGCTGGAAGAGTCCAGGGCAGAAGGCTGTAGAAGGCGCGGAGGTTTGGCCCCACACTCTCTCCTCCGTGGCTGCAGTGAGGCCCCTTAGCTAGTACTTCTCAACATGTCCTTCCTGACCCGCTGAGCCCACCCAGCTGGGATTCACTTCTTAGAAATACGCGTCCCCAGGCGCCATCCCGGGTCCCCCTGAGTCAGGGGCTCTGTGTCTGGAGCATAGCAATCTGCCCTCCTGACGATTCTGCTGTATTCCAAAGTTTGAGAACCAACCACCGCTCTTAGGATTTAAGATCACTGGTAGGGCGTAGATGGAAAGGGGAGCATATATGCTCATCTATTATGCTTGTCACAGAAGAATCATTTATATTATCATCGCTGACACTTATTGAGCACTCAGATCTTACCCAGGCCTTGTGCTAAGAAATATGAACTCTTTTAATCATGAATGCAATCCCACAAAGTGGGCGTGGTGTCACTTCCATTTAATTTGAGAGAACTGAGGCCCAGAGAGACAGGGCTGATGTCCCCGGGTGCATAGCTGGAAGGCAGTTCCGCTGAGATTCCAGCACCTTCCCTCTCTTCCTGCCTGGGAGAGTTTGCATGGGGGTCCTTGCTGTGGGTGGGCACTGTAGGGGAGGCTAGAAGGCAGACCCGACCCTACATAGAGTGCAGCCCTATT